TGGAAAAATTCTAAATTTTCTTCTTGTGATGGCTGCATAATTCAGCAACTATACTAAAATCACCGGCTTGTGTGTTTTAAATAAGTAAACTATGTGGTATATGGAGCATAGTTTAAATCTCTTGCCAGAAAGACAGACCGAGCCATGTGCACCCACACTTTTCTTCTTGCTGTGACCAAATACCCTTAGAAGAAGCAACTTAAAGAAGAAAGGTCTGGCTCACAGAGTGATGGTATAGTCACTCCATCACGATGGCAAAGGTATGACAGCAGGGGCATGACTCCGTTGGTCACATTGCACCTGCGGTCAGGAGCTTAGAGAGATGAATGCCAGTTGGTGTTCAGCTCAGTTCCCCCTTTTTATTCAGGCCACAACCCCAGCCTGTGAGATGGTGCCTGCCACATTTTCAGAGTGAGATTTCTCACCTGAATCAACCCGACTCAGAAATTCTCTCTCAGATTCTCCCAGAGGTGCCACTCCTAGATCGTTCTAATAGAGTCTGTGTTTGTCTAGTTGATAATCAACATTGGCCTTCCCAGCAAGCAAGAGGGCACGTGCCTATAATCCTGCACGTGGGAGACTGAGACTGACTAAAAGATCGCTAGTTGTTTCCATAAAACTAGCCTCTGTTCTATGACAAACTGCCCAAAAGCAAAAGAAACAATGAGTTAAAGCAATGTTATTAAATTCACTCCATGTATTGCTATCTAATTCCAAATAACAACAAAACAACCACCCAACCAGAAGGCAGCAATAATGTACTATACATTCCCTTAAACAATGACTAAATTCTACAGTCAAGAACTAGCCAGTGGGTCAAACTTTACTTAGGTTTAAATTACATTGTTTCTTTTGTAATTTCATGGACAGCATAATTTAGCAACGTGTTTAATTTTAGAATTTTTTTTTTTAGTGGTCTTGTACTTTTGAGTTTTGTGATATTATGAACAACTTCAGACATGAAACTGGAAAACATTATAGTTTGAATCAGTGTACTGATCCTCTAGATTTGTCAGTAATGTTTTATAAAGCTTGCTTTAGCACGCATCTACTGATCTTTTCATCCCTGTGTTCTTCAACTCTCCATTTTTCAAAGTATACTGCAGATTATCAGTCAGTACACACCTCCTTGATTACCTCGATGTATAATTAGCTACAGCTTTGACATATGTTAGGTTTCTTTGAATGTGAAATAGACACACAAAAGTACACAAGTCTTAGGTATCCATTTATAGCTTTTTTGCTACGTGTGTACACTTGTGTAACAAAACATCAAGAAACACAATAGTGCCACCATCCCTGGATGGTACCTCTTCCCTCTCCTTTCAGCTCCATGCTCCTGCTCCCAGAGGAGAACATACTGTTTACTTCCCTCCCTATTCTCCTTCCCTATGCCCAGATCTCCTTCCTTTTTCTATAGTGTCTCACTATGTAGGCCAACCTGGCCTTGAACTTGTGATTTCCCTACCCAAGCCCAAGCCGGTGGTCCTGGGAGGTAAGAGGAGGCAAACTGATCATACAGTTGTATGCAGCCATGCTTGAGTTTCACTTGACTTTTCTTATCTCCCTGACTTCTCTCCTTCCTCACTCCCTCTCTTTCTTTCTCTTTTCCCTTCTCCCCTCCCCCTTTCTTCTTTTTGATATAACCTCCCTCCTCCCTTCCTTCTGTTTGAGATAATTTCTCCCTATGTGGCCCAGGCTGGCTGGGAATTCTCAATTTTCCTATCTTAGCTTTCCTTCCAGCATTCTGGGATACAGACTTGCACCACAGCACTCAGTTTCCCAGTGTGTGTGTGTGTGTGTGTGTGTGTGTGTGTGTGTGTGTGTTTTCTGAGTTGGAGAAATAAAACACAGGTTCTGAGTGTTGGGGTGTGGATGTAGTTCTGGTAGACTAAAATCACATCCCTTTGAAGTGTATTTTTATCCATGCAGCCCATGGCCAGTGCTGTCAATATTCCTTTTCCCTTGGTGGTAATAACTTAGAGTTTTACTACTTCCATTTTTTTTATTGTAACAAGCAATGCCATGATAAACATTTGCCTGCAGATGCATAATTATTAGTAGTCAAAATTAGTAACATCACCTGAATGGCCATCTGACTCTGGTTGAAGCTCTGGCTTTTCTGGTGGTAGGATGGGTCAAAGCTCCTCTCATCCACCACGTTTCCAGTTGACAAGCTGCTCAAATGGTACCCAGAATTAGATGGTTTGGTCTTCAGTCCTTGGTGACTTCAGGTGTAAAGGAAATGTGTTTTTTGTGAAGTTATCTGTGGAACCCTTACAGGAAATATCTGATGACTCTGTTAGCCACATCAGGGTGTCTGATCTCTTATTACTTTCCCAGAGGCTGACACTGGGGTCCTGAGGGGAACTCTGGTAGAATATAAAGTGAAATATATCCTTTTTACTTAAAACAGTTTTAGATTTATTTTCTTTTATGTTTATATTGCTTTGCCTGTATGTATGTAGCATGTGCATGCTTGCTGTAAGCAGAGGTCAGAAGAGGATGTCAGAGTTCATTGTGGATGGTTGTGAGCCACCATGATATGCTGAGGGCTTCTGTAGGAAAAACAAATGCTCTTGACCACTAAGTTATAGCTCTAACCTCTGAAAATTGGATTCTTAATCTAACCTCTGAGACATGACTCAGAAAGAAGCAGCAAGCTAGATTTTCCAACCAAGTTTCTCTAATCAGGGGCCAGACAAACACATCTTTTTCTATGCAGCTTCTCCCAGTGAAGTTGCTGAGGTTTGATACAGGTTGCCTAATTGCCTTCCCCCTCCCATCAAAGTATGCCAGCTACTATTATTATTACCCCAAATTGTACATTTCTTTAGAGGTTTTTTTGTTTGTTTGTTTGTTTGTTTTTTAGTTTTTCAAGACAGGGTTTCTCTGTGCTGGCTGTCCTAGACCATGCTGGCCTCAAACTCACAGAGATACTCACAGAAATCTGCTTGTCTCTGCCTCTTGAGAAATGGGATCAAAGGTGTGGGCCAACATGGCCTGACTGAGAATTTCATTTTGTAAAAGCCATGGACAGTGTTTGCTGTGACTGCCATAACAAAATACTGCCAGCAGGCAGCTTAAGCAACATAAGTTTGTTTGCTCAAAGCCCTGCGACCAAGGTGTGGGTAAATGTGGTTTCTTCTCTTGGCTGGTTGATCCCCATCTTCTTGTTTCCTCATGGGGATCTCACCTATGTGTGCCCATCCACAACCTCATGATATTCACACCAGGCAAGTGGGATAGGACTTACCCACATGATCTCTTCTACCTTACCGATCTCTTTAAAGATGCTATCATCTTCGGACACAGTGTCTGTCACAGTAGTGGGGCTCAGGATTTCAACAAATGAATTTTGAGGACTCCAACTCAGTCTATAACAAGCACAGTACAGAAAAATACAAGAAAAATAGAAACATGAGAACAAGCAAACACCAAGTGGGTAGGTTTTTCATCTTTAACAAATTAAAAAAAATATTTTTTTTTTTTGCCAATGTGTAGACTTAATGAGACATTCCTATTCTCACTCCTTATCTATTAGTGTACAATACCAACAGTGATGCAAATTTTACCAGCTTTATCACAAAGCTCAACATTAGACAAATAGCTTAACTGGGTTCGTGTTGTCCCTTTAATTGCCTTGCCATCATGAACTTGCCTGGATTGATTGTATTCTCCAGTTTTCTTGGCTACTTATTTTTCTCATTCATGTTTATTTAATTATATTAGGCCAATGTTTTCCATAGATAAATTAAAATCCTTTTGAACAACTTACACACCCTCTAAGGCAATATTGGAAACTATGATATATACATCTTTCACTACTTATCCAAGCTGTGGTAATGCCTTTAAGAGATTGGTATAGCTACATATACATTAAGTTCTTACTAAAGAACTATGTACCTGGTAGAAGGGGGTAGGGGGTGGTTTACAAACGCACTTTTCATAAGACTGTGAGTATATTGATTATTCACACCACAGAGTAGGAGTGGTGCTTATGGAAATTTAAGAGGAAATTTAAAACCCTTCAAACTATTTCTTGGCATCACTCCAGACCCCAAAGAACTGAAACTGAGAACGGCGATGACGCTAACACACCACAGCACACGGCACAGTGATGTTAAGGCTGCCTGAGAACTACTGGCAAGGCAAATGTCATGACACATTGTAGTTAGAGTCTGATAATGATAGGATATAATATTTGGGACACTGCTAGCAAATTATGGGGCCCTTGATGCCTTTTCCTTGTGTGTTGAAGTGTCCAAGCCAAAAGAAACACACAACTGTATTTGTGGTTTTGTACCCATCCATGTTTTCTAATATTGCAAGTTGTTTTGGAAGGGGTACCTCCTAAGTACTGGAATTAAAGGCATGCATCACCACGGTCAGTCTTATGATTTTTGAGTCTTATCCTGGAACTAAAAAATAACCTCTCTCAAAGAAAGCCCCCTTTTAACCTGCACTTGAGAAGGAGATATTTGAGAGTCACCACTGTTTCTCCTTTTGTTGTTTGCTGTTCTCTTCCCACACAGAATGAACAAATAATAAAATTAGACAAAATATTTAGCATGCATTCTGGGCTGAAAAGTCTGAACTGGAACTTTTCCGTTTTCTTTCAAAGCCCCCTGCTAGCTTCCAGCAGTGCAGAGAGCATTGGTCTGAGACCACAGCTACAACAGACTCTTTTGCAGAAGCTGGACAGGAAGCCTGACCTCTGAGATTTCTTCCAGAGCTACTATTCTGATTTTGGGTTCTGAGGTTCCAAGAAGGTAGTTCTAAAGCTTTGGAGTCATAGGCCTTCCCCTCCCCGCAAAGCGTACAAATATTTCTGATTCTTCAGATCACTTTGGGTCCCTGGAGGGTAGAGGACCACTGCATCCAGGATTGCAGGCCCTGTTGGTCCTCAGCACAACCTGAATTGCTTCTCTGGCGGGGGCGTGCGCGGGGGCGTGTCAGAGGCGTGTTCGGGGCGGGGCCAAGGCGGCGCACGCCGCGCCCTCAGCGGAGTGAGAGGCCGAGCTTACTGCATTGCAGCCGCCGCGGCGCCGCTCGGCTCCTGACTTCCAACAATGGCGGCTCCGACCCCGAGCGGCGGCGGCGGCGGCTCCGGGGGCGGTGGCGGCACCCCGGGTCCCATCGGTCCTTCCGCCCCCGGCCACCCGACGGTCAGCAGCATGCAGGGTAAGGACGGCGGGCGCGCCGAGACTACGGGGCCTCTTGCGAGGCGCTTGACTGAGCCGCGGCCTGTGAGCCGCCGCGTCCCCGGGGCTGTCTGAGGAAGCCGCCCGAGCTCCGCGTCCCGGGCCCGGCCTCACCCCGTCTCCCAGCTCCGGCTGGGAGCTCGCTGCGGCGGCTCCGGCGTCGCCGGCTCGGGCCCACCTGGCTGCCCCCGCCCGCCGCTCACCTGGAGCCCGCGGGCTTCGGGAAGGCGCGCGTCCGGGCCTCTAGCTCGCAGGTCGGCCGCGTCCCGGCCCTCGGCCCCGCCGCCCCCGCGCGCCGCAGTGGGGCCGGCTCAGGGCCATCTTGCGCCTCGCCGGGCGCCGCTGGGGCCGGGCCACTGCGCTGCCCCCCGATCCCCAAAACTTTGCAGGGTGTCTGCGTGGGAGGGGCGGGGGTTCGCGAGGCCCAATGCCACCTGTAAGGTGGGTAGACAGCCCTTGGTCCTGGAGAGGCGATTCGACCCAGGCTTGGAGATGTGCTTTCCTCTCGCATGCAGAAAAGAAAATCAGATAAAAATAAAAGACCGAGTAGGGTTGAAAGGGAGAGATTCAGGAAACCGAATGGCAGAGGTCAAAGTGATCGAGTCTGGGCATCTGAGACAGCTCTCCTGTAATGGCCTTTCCCCACTGGGAGGCCTTAGTAGCTCTGTGTGGGTTTTGACAGGGGGTGTTATGAAAATAACAGGCCTGGGCCCATTAGGGACCATTTCTTAAGTTTACTGGAGGGATTTTTTGGGTAGTAGTGCTATTTTTTGAAACAGACAAGCCCAGAAATCTCTTGATAACTTTAGCAAACGACTCGTTGAATTATTAGAGTCATTTGGATGTCCTTGGCATTCAGTATGACCATAGTTTCTCAGTAAAGGGCTTCTTGTGTCTAGTTAACAGATTATATGTTGAATATATTGTGTTATGATAGAATACCATGATTCAGGCAGCATAAATAACGATCTGCATTTGCATCCCTCCGAATAATAAAAATTTAGCATACATATGATAGATATATCAACAGGACCAGGACGAGCTCGGCATTCAGAAGATATATTCTGTGCAGTCCCTAATTAATTCAAATTGATCTAGTTATTGGATGCCTGCTGTGCTGCATATTACATTATTTAGAATACATGATTGATTTCTCGATCTCACACTTTTACTACCTGCTCAGATAATTTAGGATTATCTTCTCTTGTGCCTTTTCCACAATGGGTGACTTAAAGTTTTTTTAAAAAAATATTTTAAGGTTAGAGATGTAGCCTGATCTGAGTTCAATCCCTGGGACCTACATGGCAAGGAGAGGGCTGATTCCCTCAAGTTGTCCTCTTACCTCCACTTAAACACACAATAAATAACTCAGCAAAACAATGTATGTATTTCAAGCTCACCCCCCCAGGCTGATAGTTTGAAAAACTGTAATAATTTTTTTCTTCTTGTTCAGAAAATACTGAACAGATGCTTAAATCCAAAACAGTGCTGCTCATAGTGTGTAGACACCAGTGAACACAGCCATCTCACCTCTGATGGAGCATGTCCCCTTGAGAATGGAGAAGGGAAGACGTGTAGGTAAATAGTAGAGGTTGCTTAAGAAAAATGGAAGGCAACAAGCTGGGTTTTGTGATAGAAGATAACAGGGCAGTCTCCTTGATAGGGCAGACAGAGAAAGCCTGTTTGGAAAGGACAAAGATGGGGCCAAGGCAGAGAGAAAAGTGAATGGGAGGTTTCTGCAGTGAGGAAGAGCTCCTACAAATTCAAAGTCACATGGCCAGGAATTATTCTGGTGTTCTCTAGTCTCCTGTATCTCTGCCTTTTGATTTTTGGAACCCTTTTTAAAAGGGAGAAGGGCTCTAAACTGTCTTTGAATTATTGCTGAATTTTAAAAAGACTTTTTGTGTGTGTGTGTGTTTTGTGTGCATTTTTATATGAGCACCACATGCATGCCTGGTGCTGGAAAGGTCAGAAGAGGTCATTAGATTCCCTGGGACTGGCTTTACAAATGGCCGAGCTGCCCTGTGGGTGCTAGGAATCAAACCAGGCTCTTTTACAATAGCAACATGTTCTTAACCCCTAAGTTGTTACTTTTTTTTTTTTTTTAATCTTTTCTGAAAAATCTTTGATGAACGCAGGAACATGCTAGTTATATCTTGTGTTTTGAATCTGTTTTGATTGCTCAGAATAAAGAGATGTACTTGAAATGTTCAAGGTGTTGTGTAGCATATTCTGAATTAGAAAGCTTGAACTTAAGCAGCAAATTAGGTTTTTGTTGTTTTAGTTTTGAGCCAAACTTCCCATTCTTTACCAATAGATTTATTTTTATGCAGTTGCAGGACATAAGAATTATACTTCAGTAGTCATTGAAGTCATTGAACAGTCTCCTGTACTATACTTGACAAAGGACTTGGTACTGTTTCATTGTTTCATGGCTTGACATCTGTGATCAACTGTGGTCCAAAGTTGGAAACATTATTTCCTTTTTATTGTAATGTTTTAATGGCCAGAGCTCTGGAGTCTTGCCTTTGAATCTTATCCTCCCTCCACCCCACCAGTACCTAAGCTTTCTGTGAGTACATTACTTAGCCTTGCTAAGCCTCTGTTTCACAGTTGGAAAATAAGAATAATGCTTGTCCCCCGGGCACAAGGAGAATGCACACAAAGTATGGGACCTGGCATTCAGTAAGTTGTTGAAGTAAGCCATGAGTGTTGGCTATCAGCATTCTCAGCACACATCCTGTTATTTGCAATGATCTCTCCACTTTACACCATGGGTCCCTAGTCCCTTAAGACCAACTTGCACATTTCTTTTTTTGAGCTTTATCATCTGTGGGTTGGACAATTCTCCTAACCTGTTGATGTAACCGTTTTTTCACTATTAAGGGATCCTATTTTTAGATTCCAGAGAAGACACTGTTCTGCTTCAAACTCTAAATCCTGTTGTTTTCTGGATCTGAGAATCTCAAATGGTGATAATGTTGCTATTATGAGGTACTACTGTAGCTGTAAATAGGCTGTGGGTTGTGAGTAGCTGGAATGAGAATTGTAGTGATTTTGTTTCATCATTTGTTCAATTGGTTACATTTTCACAGAGAAGTTGTACTTCTGATCTGGCCATTTTTAGAGCATTCTTCCCACAGTCTCAGCTGATAGAGAATAGTAGCTGATTTTGTTATTACTCATACCTTTTGCGTTTTCATTCATTCTGACTCATTTTTTTTTCTTTTTAATTTCCTCATGCCCATATACAGAAGTACAAACATTTACAAGCTTACTATGCCTCCCTCACCTTTCCTCCCTTGATTGTTTGGTGACTAAAACTATCAAAATGTAGATCTGCTTACCCAGTAGTGTAAATAGTATTATAAAAATGTATTAGACATAAGGGTAAGCATTCTTTTGAGAAAGAAACAGATATTCAAATGAGCTACTATGAAATGGGCTTTTATTCTCAATAACTAGTTGAGATTTGGAAAAATTATTTCCTCAGTAGTTTAAGAATTTGAAAAATCATTTCCTTGACAATTTGTCATTACAGATGAATTTAACTGAAAGGTTTTTTGAATGGTACAGTACTATGTAATAGTGTAATTCTTTAGCTCAAGAAATTTTAGTGAACTTAAAAAAGTGCAACTGCTATCTTAATATTGAAGAGTCTTTCTAGTGGTGGCTTGTAAAAACATAGGTATTTAACTAAGCTAGTGGAAGGATACCAAGTGATCAATCTCAGGTGAGCTGGGCAGATGTCTAGGACCTAATGTTCTAAAAAGTCACCATGGGCATGTCAGAGAATAACAAATATTCTAGTGAATAAAGCTTGCCAGCTCAGAGTTGAACATCTTCAACAATGAAGACACAGCAGGTGATTTCTCCTGTGCTGGTGGTTTTATCTTTGCATGGATGAATATTTTTAAGAAATAGGACATCAGTGTTGAGACACGGTGGATTTGGACTAGGAAAAACCAATGCTTAGCATCTGCCATATACAGGCTCTGTACCCTTGAGAAATTACTAGGTTTTTCTATTTCCCATAATTTCTCATCTATTAAAACAGATGATACACAGTTTATAGACTGTTTTAAGAATCATGTTAAATTATTGCATGTGAAAAAATGCTTTAAATCATAAAATATGACTATGTAAAGATTATTAGAAATGATATTTACCTACTTTAGTTGCTAGTCACTTAATATGTAATGATTATAAAAGATCTTTTAAAAATACGTGATGTTAAATTTATTATAAAGGCTTAGGACATTGGGGAGATGGCTCAGTCTATAAAGTGCTTGTTGCATAAGAACAAGGCCCTGAGTTTGAACCCTCAGCACCCACGTCAAAAGCTGGACATGGCAGCATGCATCTACAATTCTAGCTAGCCATGGGGAGTTAAATACAGAAGGATTTCTGGAGCTTGCTGGCCAGGAGGCTCAGTGAGAGATGCTGCCTCAAAAAATAAGTTGGAAAGCAATTGAGTAAGACAGTGTATGTTGACATCTGGCTCCTACATGCACCCACACCTGAATGCACAAATGCAAACACACACACACAATAAATTAAAGTCGTAATATATATATATATATATATATATATATATATATATATATATATATATATCTTAAACTTGAGTAGTTAGGGAATACCACTTTAGAAATGTTTTTTTTTTTTTTCCAAAGTGGTTAGCATAGTTACAATTTATTATGTTTTTATTTATTTATCTGGATTTATGCTGGACTCAAATTTGTAATCTAAGGATTGAGACTACAGGTATGTACCAGCATGTCCAGTTTAGAATCCCATCAATTTTGAAAAACACTGAGCTATTTGTCAAGCACCTTACTGTACAAGTAGCTGTAGCATAATATACTCTGATTCTCTTAATGTGTTGATTTAGGCAGTTTTGCTCTATTTTCTCCTCAGATCTTAAGTATAGATATATAGCGTGTGATTAATGCCCATGTATTTAACCCTCAAGTGAGC